GAAAATATGTTCACCTGCAGTGAAATAAATTTTTTCAGTGAAAATACGGAAACTGAAAATACACATTTTATTTCATCAATATTTCTCAATATTTCATTTATAAGTTTATAATAAATAAAATTACATATACTTGAAAACCCGTTATGCTTAAAGTGTAAGTCAATGTATTCATACGACTCATATTACATACAAATTAGAGAGTTTCAGATTGAGTATGCGATACATGCATATTTTGTGTGTCCTAAAGCGAGTAATAACTTTCCTATAAAATACACAAAATCATGTGTTTCATTTTGTATCAGGCAATTGATCGTTTAAAACTTTTGAATAAATCTATGACTTTGATATTTTAAGGAGCAAATTTGATGTGGAAAAAATGCAAATGAAATTGTTTATTTTATTTTACAGATAAGAGAAGAAAGGAAAAAAGTGATTTGATATTCAACAAATCAATAAATCGTATACTGGATATTAATAATATATTATATGAATTAGTTACCATAAAATATGGATAAAAAAGGGCTGTTTAGACAAGTGATGCATCGGAACAAATGCAAACATTTTGAATGCGCGATGAAAACATCAGACATAAACATTTAATATGGAAGTTGCTGAAGTGATTTATCATGTTTCAACTATCGTTTTATTTTTGTTTTATTATTTTTTTTTTTGTTTACATAAAGTAAATTATTTCATTCCGCAAAAATATATTCAGAAAAATGTATAAATATTATGTCTTGCATTGTCAGTGCTTTGTGTTTTGTGTTATATAATATTACACATATCTGGTTTTTTATAAATATTTGAAATTTACAATTTAAGGCACATCGCTGTAAGTTTTATTTCTCAAAAACCTTTTTTAAAGTTTTAAGTTTGGTATCCTGTTACAGTTTCTTTAAAGTGGTATTATCTCATTTTCTATATAGAAATAATTTGCGATTGATATAATTTTTTTGTAAATAAGTATTTCGTGTAGAAGTTAAAATACTGCATAATTTACATTTTGCTACCTTTTACGACATATTACTGAACATTCAGCGATACTTTTGCTCATCTCTTAAACATCTTACATTCACTTAATCTTTTATTAAACCAATAGTGAATACATGTTTGACATTTTCTAAACATTTTAATTATTATGGATTTCTCTGCGCCAGATTGTGCCTTTAACCTTTTTAAACATTTTGATACCAGCTTGTATCATCAAAAAGCTTTCTTTGATACACATATATTTCTTATTATGTTAATTATATGCAAATTAATTTTTATTTTTTATGTCTGATTTTTCAATAATCAGTTAGAGATGAGATCGAATTTCACAACAATAATGTAAGTTATTTGTATTATATTCAATGAATGTTCTGTCTTAATTTTTTGTTTGTTGCTGTAACAATGCATGGAATCTTATTATAAAAAGATATAAGCCCTTTATATGCAGAAATGTTATTGCAAGTTAAAAGGTTTTCTTTGTTTTTTTTAAGAAGCAACAACAACAACAATAGAATAGAAAAAAAACGACAGGGGGAAAAAAAGATCCAAAAGAAACATATCATTGAAAATACTTTGCTGAATATAAATAGTATTATATTTGTTATAACAAAGCAACCTCTTTACCATTGCAAAACATTTTTGAGATATTTTTGTTTTTCGATAAAAAATATTTTTCATTTTCAGTTATGTATTCATATTGTCTTTTTTGCTTTTATTTATTTAAGTTAACTGAGCTAATAATAGTTATCATAAGGTAGGCAAGGTAAATTATAATATACTATTTTTAAAAACACATTATTTGTTTTAATGAAATTCCTAAATATGTTGTAGAACTTCTCACAAATTGTGTAACTAATCAACACAATGTTCAACTTGTGTTATTTCCGCGTTATGCGGTTGCATTGTTAGTGCTTCAGTGTATTTATTGACTACTAGCGAAATGATAAATGTGGAATCGACTGTCTGTAAAATGGACATTATTTTACAACTAGAGTTTGTACGATAGCTGATAAGATTTACTACTTCTTTGAGTAAAGATATTTTAGAACATTGAATTGGCACTGATTTTTTTTATCTATTTGCTTATTTGTTCATCCCTTTATTCATTTATTTGATTATTTATCAGATATAAAAAAGAAAAGTAAATTCTTCCTATCATTCAAATGCTATATAGGTTAGAAAGCAAAGATGCTTATCTTTCACCTTTTTGCCACTGTCAAACAACTTTTCTATGCCCATACTGAAGTAATGGGTAATTTCACATCCCGGTAATGTAAACAGTTATATTATATTGGTAAAGCACAACTTTTTATCTGATCTTTTCATGAAGACTTCACGGCTTATAAGTTAAATGAGAAAATAGTAAATGTCAGTAACTTTTTAGTATGATTTTATACTTCAAATAACTGACATAAACTTATTTTTTCACATTTCAATATCACCCGGGCAAATAAAAAAAAGAATGAGAAAAATCAGTTTAAGTCGCTTATATATGAAGTTTATTATTATTATTATTATATTATTATTATATATTATTATTATTATTATTATTATTGGTCTTGAATATTATTTCAAAATTATTAGCAGTTGAAGACGTGTCATATTACCATATAAAATCTTTCAAAATAAAAACGTTGGTTGAATGAGCTCTGTCTTCTTTCTGAACCGGGTTATGTAATTATGATATTTACTCATCATTAAAACAAAAGATTTTCATGACACCAAACTCACATCATCGCATATACAATTAATATTGATATACCGCATTTTTTACTACATTTTAACCATTTGATGTTTTTTTTTCTCACTTTTCAAGCACTTTGTATTACATCAATAATTTATGTATTTATTTATTTTAACTAATTAATTTATTTATTAATTTATTAATTGATGTTTTTTAAATTTATTTATGTTATCTTTATTTCTTCATTTTATTTATTCATCATTAATAAATTGATTTATTTATTTACTTAATTATTTATTTATTTACTAGTTTTCATATAGTTATACATGTATTTACTTGTATTTACTTATCTATTCATCCCTTTATTTATTTATGAATAATTAAAAAAAAGGATAAAGTAAAAATCTTCCTATCATGAAATGCTATATAAACTGCTTTAAAAAAACATGTACTTTACGAGTAAATTGCCTGTTCAATTAGTTAAACGTTAGAAAGCAAAGGAGCTTATCTTTCACCTATTTGCCACTTCAAACAACTTTTCTATGTCCTTCCTGAATTAATTGGTATTTTGGAAAAACACATACCGGTAAATATAACAGTTATATTGTAAATCACAATATTTAAGACTTCTAAGCATAGTTACTATAGTAAAATGAGAAAAAATAGTATAATGTTAAACTAAAAAGTAACTGACAAATTTTTTCTCATTTTAATATCATAATTATCATTATAATTTGTTTATTTGTGTTATCATTATTATTTTTATTTATTATCTAAATAAATAGAGGATATTCAAGATTTTTCTATAAATACATGATTTATTTTCATCGAGTGGTATGAAAATAAATATTTCATGAGTGGCGGTAGCCACGAGTGAAATATGGTAAATTTTCATGCTACAAGATGAAAATAAATCATGTATTTATAGAAAAAACTTGAATTTTCTGTTAAATATATGCATTTTCTCTTTTTGACATTAAAATTTGAAAGACTTTCCTTAAATTTTGTGTACTGGCAGAATTTAAAGAAAAGTAGTCCGGCAAGACACCAGTGAAAATACGGAAAATATGTTTCACTGCTGTGAAAAATAGATTTTATAGTTAAAATACGGAAAATGAAAATACGCATTTTATTACATCAATATTTTTCAAAATATTTCCTTTATAAGTATATTATAAATATTATATATTTGCGCTAGTTTTTTTTCCTAAAAAAAAGGTGATAATTAATGTAAATAATGATTACACTTTAGGTAAATGGATAAATATTTTTGTATAAACAGATAGCTGATTGACAATAATATGTTATTACTAGCTTGTAAATATAAATATTAATATCAGTTTTTTGATAGCTTTTAAATATTTTTTCTTATATTTGTTTTATTTACTACATATTCTCACTGTAACAATATGATGCATGATGGAAAATGTTAAATGAAGTAACGAATTGTCACAAAAATAAAACAAATGCTTGCCTTATATTATTACCTTCCATTTTGTCATTGATCATACCATCTTTTATTAAAACGGGGATAAACCATATATCATAAAACTTTTCATCTACATAAATAACAATTACAGGCAAAGAACATACTAACGCATGAGGAATGCAATGAAAAAAAATCATGTATTGAACAGAATTATTACCATATGCGAACACACCATACTGATCTCGGAGAATGAACTGCATTAATGACAGTATTACTTACCATTTCAAAAAGTATAAGAAATATAACATACATGTATTCTTCTATGTATACGTATATGTGTTCATCAAATAACCCCGAACAACGATTTCCAACATTATTTGCCTTAGAAAATAAACCATATGAAAAGATAGAGGAATATCATCCGCAAACACGGACAGGTACAATGCGTTGAGGTTTAAAAGATAGGGGAATTATTCTCCTAACTCTATCTCTCTCTTTCTGCATGTAAATTTGTTGCTGAAAAAGTGCATAGAGGTAGACCCCCGGAAAAAGAAAATCTGGAATTTCTTTTTTTATTCTGGAACGCATTTAAAATATGTTAAATCAGTATGTTAAGTGACTTGTTTAATGTATGCAAAATAATTGGGGCATAGTAAGTTGAATAGCATAAAAATGTGTTTGTTTTAAGCTTTTTGCTTTACATTAAGCGAGAATTTTATGCTAACATTCTTGTTAAATTAGTATTTTTATGTTGAGTTAGTGTAAAAGATTACAACATCGGAAATATTTTTTCTAATTTTAAATTAGATGCTTCATGTTAAGTCAGTATATTAAAAGTAAAAGAATTACACATATATGGTTAACAAAATTAACATACAATATATTATTTGCTTTTAGAAATTATTACCGGAGGAGACACCACGACTGATGCAGAGTGTATGGAGACCAGATACTGTACTTAAAGCTATAGGGCTTGGCATTGACATGTTTGACTCATCATATCCTTTTATTATACTGTACTTAAAGCTATAGGGCTTGGCATTGACATGTTTCACTCATCATATCCTGTTATTATACTGTACTTATAGGTATAGGGCTTGGCATTGACATGTTTGACTCATCATATCCTTTTATTATACTGTACTTAAAGCTATAGGGCTTGGCATTGACATGTTTGACTCATCATATCCTTTTATTATACTGTACTTAAAGCTATAGGGCTTGGCATTGACATGTTTGACTCATCATATCCTTTTATTATACTGTACTTAAAGCTATAGATCTTGGCATTGACATGTTTGACTCATCATATCCTTTTATTATACTGTACTTAAAGCTATAGGGCTTGGCATTGACATGTTTGACTCATCATATCCTTTTTAGCTCGACTTTTCTATGAAAAGGGGAGCTATCCTACTCGCCCCGGCGTCGGCGTCGGCGTCGGCGTTGGCGTCACACCTTGGTTAAGTTTTTCGTACCACCCCACTTTATTTAGAAGTATTACAAGTATGGCTTTGAAACTTACCATACTTGTTCACCATCATAACCTCCATCTACAGACAAGAGTACATAACTCTGTCAAGGTTTTTGACAGAATTATGGCCCTTTTTTGACTTAGAAAGTGTATTGAGCTTGGTTAAGTTTTTTGTACCACCTCACTTTATTTCAAAACCATTGGAGGTATTGCTTTGAAACTGACGGCATACTTCTTTACCATCACGACCTTCATCAACAGACAAGAGGACATAACTCTGTCAAGGTTTTTGACAGAATTATGCCCCTTTTTGACTTAGAAAAATACTTGAATTATGGGTAAAATCCACTTATTGCCTTAACCCTTTGAGATATTGCATTCGAAGATAGTGAAATGAATGTGTTCAACGAGATGCCCCCAATTGGTAAAAAAATATACTCAATGTCACGATTTCATGAACATTTAGCATGACATTAAATAATGAATTGAACTTCCTTCATGTAATTCAAATATCAGTTTACAACGCATTATCTACATAGTGGACCCACGAAAAGTAACCAGTCACCAACAGCCTGTGTGAAAGAGATCCACTTGTGACCAACTGACAACATCTAAAAAAGCTTGATAAAATTTATCTCATTACTTGTATTATAAGGTAACTATAATACTTTCACATACAAAGTCAATCTATATATTATGCTGATTGTACAAAAATATACTGCTTCTTGGCATAGATTTCTTGAAAAATTATGTTATTATGTCATTTACAAGGTGTTCTGAGTGACGTAAAAAACCTTATTCTCTCAAAGTGGGTTTAATACTATTAAATTTATTTAAGGCTCAACTCAGTTTTCTTTTCTTTCTTACCAGCCCTCTTTTGACTTAAACATTTCAAACTTTGCTGCAGTGTTCAAGGGTATCACACAATTCAGTAAAATAATTCTTCACTAAATATCTTAATGCTCATGGCCATTGTTCACTTTAAAAATACAGAGATTCTTGTATTGCCTTTTTACTGCAAAAACTTTTTTTATTGGCAAGCAATAAAAAAGTCGAGCGCGCTGTCTTACGGACAGCTCTTGTATTATACTGTCCTTAAAGCTATAGGGCTTGGCATTGACATGTTTGACTCATCATATCCTTTTATTATACTGTAGTTAAAGCTATAGAGCTTGGCATTGACATGTTTGACTCATTATATCCTTTTATTATACTGTACTTAAAGCTATAGGGCTTGGCATTGACATGTTTGACTCATCATATCCTTTTATTAGTCCCCTACCGGTTTAACCGGAGGGGACTTTAGGTTTACCCTCCGTCCGTCTGTCTGTCTGTCCGTCTGTCTGTATGTCTGTCTGTCAGTCCGTCAGTCCGTCCGTCCACAAAACTGGATCCCCCGCGATAACGCAAAAAGTACTGAAAATATTTTTTTATGAAACTTGATATTATGGATAGATGGCAGTATGGAGATTATGCACGTCTTTTTTTTTTTCCTATGTTGAAAATTCTTGTTGCTATGGCAACAAATAGTCTGAAAATATGGGCAAATTTAACACATAAACTGGATCCAGTGATAACTCAAAAAGTACTGACAATATTTTTATGAAAACTTGAAATATGGGTTGATGGCAGTCTGGAGATTATGCACATCTTTTTCTTTTCTTCCTATGTTGAAAACTCTGGTTGCTATGGCAACAAAATAGCCTGAATTTCAAGATTTCTGATTTTAAAAATTTTTCAGCTTTTTTTACTATAAAAGTTTTTTATTTTTTTTAAGGGTGTTTTTTTTTCCCAAAATTTTAAATATAAAAATTTTCTTGGGCAAAACAACCCCAAAATTATATGTTTACAAAAGGGTTTTTTAACCCCCTTTGCCAAAAAATTTAAAGGTATTACCCCCCCTTTAAACTTTTAGTTTTTGGGGAAAAAAATTTTTTGTCTTTTTTAAAATAAACTTTTTTATTTCCTAATGTTTTTTTTCCCTTCAAAATTTCATATTTTTTTTCTTATTTCATTTAAACTTTTTTTGGAATTTTTAAAATACCCCAAACCAAAGACTTTTCCCCAAAAATTAAAATTTTTCCCCCTTTAAAACTTAGATTTTTTTTGGGAGAAACTGGTTTTTATTTTTCATTTCCAACCCCCTTTCATTTCCTATAAAAATTTACTTTAAAAAAATCCCAAACAATTTCTTAATATGAAAAAAGGGTTGTAAAAACAAAAATTTTCCTTTATTTAAGCCAGGGAAAATTAATCTTTTAACTGTGTTTTAGGACAAACTTTTTTTAATTATTTTATTGTGGGGGGATTTTTTTTCAAAAAAACCCAAGACTTTCTTTCCTCAATTAAATTAAAATTTTGGGAATACACAGGATGTTTTAAAAAAAAAACTTTTGAGGGTACCCGGTGGGGAACCCTACTGTTTTGGGGCCCCCCCAAAATAACTATTAAAAATTGTTGTTTTTTTTAATTTTTTTGGGTTAACCCTTAAAGTTTTAATAGGGGCCTTTGGGAATTGGGGACATTTTGGGGATTCTTTCTTTTATCCTTTTATTATTTTTTGGTTTTTTTTAATTTTTTTAGGCGGCTTGCTTTTTGGGGGAAAAACCCTCTTTTTAAAATATCCCTTTTATTATTTGGGTAAAGAAATAGGGCGGCTTGACATGGTTTTAACTCATATATCCTTTTTTTAAACGTTTCTTAAAGGGCTAAAAAGGGCCCCCTTGGGGATTGCCTTTGTTTGAAAACCTAAACTTCCTTTTTATTTTTTCGGGGTTTGTTATTCCCAGAAGGGGGATTTTTTGTTTCGGGTTTTTTAAATTTTAATTTTAAAAGAAAACATGAAACACTTACGGGGAGGTATCTATTTTTTGCATTTGTCTTCCCTTTTTTCTTTTAATTTTGTCCTCTTTTGGGGGAAAGGTCAAAAGGGGTTCCCAAATTCAAACCTCAAAGGGGCTTCGCTTCAGTTTGGGTTTTAAAAAAATTCTAACTAAAAACCCGTCCCTTTTGAAAGGGGCCTCCAGCTAGTTTTAAAAAAAGGTTAGGGGGATTTTTTTCCCCACTAATGCCATTAAATCGGGGGTTTAAATTTTTTAATTTACAAACCAAAAAAAAAAGGGATCTTTTTCTCTTTTTTTTTTCAAAACCAAACTTCAAATTACACGATTAAAATGAAAAATATTGAGAATCATATGCTTTCCAATGCAGTATGTATATATTGATTAACCGAATATCTAATGTCCCATTTGGACACTAAATATATGTTTCCAGTATGTAAACTAATTATGTTGATCAATTATAGGTAACCTGGCATAGCTATGTCCATTTTGTATATAAAATGTCTGAGCCAAATGATAGTATATATGTAAATAGGAAAACTAAATATTTTGTCAGTTGGGTAAACTTAATATCAATATTAATTATTCCTTCTAAAATATCTCTTAGTAAGTCAATTGGTAAAACTAAATATTTTTGTCAATTGGTAAAATAATAGGTAAACTAATTATCTGTGTTAATTATTAGGTAACTGAATATGTGTGTCAATTGGTAAACTAAATATTTGATTGTGTCAATTAGTTAAATATCTTTGTCAATAAGGAATCAGTTGGTAAACTGAATATCTAAGTTTTTTTTTGGCAAACTACATATCTTTGTCAATTGATAGACTAAATATCTATGTCAATTGGTGAACTGAATACCTTTGTCAATTGGTAACCTAAATATCTACATGTATTTAAATTGTTAAACTAAATATCTTTTTCAATTGGTAAACTAAATATCTATGTTTATAGGCAAACTAAATATCTATTTCAATTGGTAAATGGGAATACCTTTATCAATCGGATTATATCTATGCTAATTGAGAAACTAAATTTCTTTGTCAATTGGTAAACTGAATACCTTTGTCAATTGGTAACCCTAAATATCTATGTTTATTTGGCAAACTAAATATCTATTTCAATTGTTAAATGGAATACCTTTATCAATCATATTATATCTATGCTAATTGAGAAACTAAATTTCTTTGTCAATTGGTAAACTCAATACCTTTGTCAATTGACTGGTAAACTTAATACCTTTGTCAGTTGGAAAAATAAATAATTATCTTAGGTCAGAAATGTTGACATTGAAGTTGATTTAATTGATGTAGTTACATGAATACAAAATTTGAACATCTTGACTTCTGGAACCAAAAGTGATTGGCCTAGTATAACACGAGGACAGCCAGCACATTTGTTCAATCTGAGCAGACTGTATACAATCTGAGCAGACTGTATACTGACAATATCATGTTTGTATTTTAATATTGAAAAACTTAGATTGTTTCAATTTTCAAAACTGGGCAAATCCATTTTACAAATTCAGCTGGTTAAATACCTTAACTAATTAAAGATATCCTTATGTGGTGACGGAGAGGGGGCATGCTCTTGTG